GTGCAGTGGGAAGTCATAGCCTCTTGTCTTGAGGCTGAACGCAGGTGATATTCCTATAGTTATGTGGCTCTGCCATTCTACTGTGCTCAGCTGTTTATAAGGAACACGATGCAAGGACACAAACTGTCAACTGGCTTCAAGGATTACATATCAGTACCTCAGCTAGCCTTATTTGCATTGGTTAGAGCTAGTTAAATGGAGAAGAAAGTAATGTAGCCAGCTCTGTACATATCAGTCCATGGAGATAGGGCTCGGTTCAACTAACGCTGAAGCAATTGTTCCACTTTGAAGCAGTTGTTCTGCTTTCCTCTCCTATATCTATCTATCCCTCCCTTGTAGCTGATGTAGGGTCAGTCATGGTTGTATGGCTTCTAGATGTCTCTGGGTAGTGAATCCTCTGTGACAGATTTTAATGAGAAGAATTATAAACAAGAGAATGAGCACACTAATTCTGATATAAAACTAAAAGTAAGATTTGTGGGATTGAATTGTTTATAGTATCAGCAAACTTATCCCAGTCTTTAACTTGAGTGTCAAAAGTAGCTGTTATGACATGGACAGCACTAGTCTTTGAAGAGCATCTATATTCATAGTAATATTCTGATGGAATGCCCTTTTTATGTTTTTTGATCATTCCCCAAGGATGTAGGCTTTTGTTACATGGTAATGAGGTGATACAAAAGCGAATCATATTATAGTGACACTTTAAACCTGTTGTAGCTATAAACTTTTAATCTGATCTATCCACAGGTTGGAAGTTTCTAGAATACTCACTTGGGTTCACAATTTTATATCAATTTCTCACTGAATATTGTAGCTCTTATCAGCAATTCCTGTCCAGTTGTCTACAAAATGAGCAGTTTGTATTGAATGGGCTAAAGCTGTAGAGCCAATAGCTGTGCCAAGAAAGTAATTGCTAAATCTTTTAATTAAGGTCTCTACCAAGAGGGCAGTAGGTAAATGATACTAAAGCTCCATTAAATTGACTGAAAGCCAAACTCTGGGCATCCTGCTCATGATGATTATTGTGGGGTCCCTAGAAAGAAGTTCAGATATGATACAATGGGCTAGATTAAAATTAGTACATGGGAACATATTTTATTGCCACTCTATCTTTCCTATCAATAATACATGAGGATCTTAAGTATTTTTATATATTTATGATCTTGTAATATTTGACTTTTTCTCCATTTACTAGCTGCAGATGCCCAGTCATCCAGCACAAAAAGGCAGGACTAATTTCATAAAGTATGGTGTATCAGTCTACCTTTGCCCCTGATAATGATCTAGGAATTGGAGGATGGAGGCCTCTACTTGACCATATGATATTAGACAAGGCTTCTGGGGTCACTGTATTTCCAGCAGAGTCTGGAAAGGGAATCTCATGCCAATCTTCATTTCTTTCCATAGGGAATCGGGGGGGGGGGATCTGTAAAGAAATAAATTTGCATATAAGCCATCTTGAAAATCAACTTGAACTAGCTTATTTTGAGAATAATAATAACTGTGGAGCTTGTTGGTTTAAGGAATCAGACCCAGGTGGTTTAGTTGAAAATTTCACCAAAGTTCTTTGGCTTCAACCCTTTTCTGCTGCTCTCTGGATGTCAGCCCCATCCTTTGCAAATTCTTTCTTCTGAAGGCTGGACTCATGGCATCCTGTACCTATGGCATCACATGTATACAACTTTGTGACCTGAGAGAAAGGAATTCTACTTTCTTGTCTGCTCCTGCCCCAAAATTAATTTATTGAAAAAAGAAGGACTCCCAGTTTGGCTTAGCTGGATTATATGTCTGTCTTTGTGGACCAACCACTTAGTAAATGGAATAGGATACCATAACCCAACCTGAGCTGAGTCCGTTCTTATGATCTGGGGATGAGAATTGGGTATGAGAAAGAAAAAAAAATGATGAATAAATACAGTATCCATTTCAGCAGTAGAATAGGTATATGTCAAAGTAAGTTATTTTTATAATTTATATGTATACATATGATAAGTACCTATTGTATATGCATGTTTCTGAGCCATTTGGCAGCAAGTTGAATACATGATACTCTTTATCACTTTCAGACTCCAATATGTCTTGGCTAAAGGTAAAGACATAGTATTCTTAATTTGGTTTTTTGAGATAGGGTTTCACTGTGCGATTCAGGCTGATGTTGAACTCACTGTGTATCCCAGGCTGGCCTCAAACTAATGGCAATCTGCCTGCTTTAACATCTCGAGTGCTGGAATTAGACATGCACCAACATGCCTGGCTAAAACCATAGTATTCTTATGTATATGTTTTTCACTGTACTTTTTATTCTCATAAATTAATAAGCAATTTATAAGGAGATACTTTAAGACTGTGCAAATATCTTGCTCCTCTTCAAGTTGTTCTCCTTTGATAATTTTAGAGGGGACACATCTTTTCTATGGTTTTTACAAAATCATTTTCTAACTCTACTACTATTTTTCTACATTTATATTTGGTTGCTGCAGTAAACAAGAGCTCTGTCCCTTCTCCCTTATGTCTAGCTATCATCACTGTACAGTCCTGTTGTTTACAGTGACTTACACTTCTTCACTGTTCCCAATTTGGTGCTCAATTTTAGGCACTAAGATTCCTCCAATGTCTTTTTGACCTTTTTTTTTTTAAATGCACCCTTACATTCTGTAGCAGGATGTTCCAGGCTTACCTTTTGTATTCTCCACTTTAGCTTGGGACTCAGCTGTTTCTCTGAGTAGACATACTGTATGTTGTTAATGGAGCATCTGTACTGTTAAGCACTTTCAGTTGTCAAGACTAGGGAAAATAAACAAAACTTGCATGTAGAAATGTATGTTCACATATATAGACATAACTACCAGTATGTACACATAGTAGTGCTTTGGTTCACGAACTTCATTCTTTCCACAATTCTGCTCACAAACCAAATTGAACAGGAGCCAAATCAGATTTGGTCAACGTTGAACATAGCCATTGAATTTCATTCAGTTTTTATCCAGTTTGATTTGCGACCAGAATTGTGGAAATAACTCAGTTTATGAATTGAGGTAGCACTGTGTCTTATGCATATGTAATTTATTATAAAAATTGTATGTATTTGTAGCTCCTCCTTCCTTAGGAAGAACCCCAGGTTCCAAATCAGCACATTCATTTGTTTAATCCATTTGTTTTATCACATACAAAATACTTTCAGAATTGTTTCAACCAACTACCAAAAAGAAATTCAGGCTTCGTTTGCTGTTCTTTCCCTTTCTCCCCAAAGCTAATAAGAGTGTATAGTCAAATACTGTATTCACAGAATTGCAGAGTTGAGGTCTTTTTCTTTTCTATGTAGTTTGGTTATACTATTCTGTCAAAACATTTGGATTAACTTATTTTAGCTTGTCTTTTTATCTTTTTATTTGTTTATATGTAGAAATTTAACATACAAGGTGTAGTCAGAAGGTACAATGAATGTTTAAAAAACTCATTACAGTAAAAGTCACATTGCAAGGGGGAGTATTTTGGGAAGTTAATGGCAGTGTGCCTTTTACTTCAATAAATTTAAAAATTTGAACATTCATTATATTTTTGATCACCATATATTATCAAACATTTAAGTAAATTTCTGTCAAGTGAAAATGTTATAATGTTATACTATAACATTTGTAGTATATACTATATCATCCATCTTATCACTGATTCTGTCACCCTATGACTTCTGGCTGTTCCCCAAAATCAAAAGGATTCAAAGGTGAACATTTTGAATCTATTCAGGATATCACAGCAGCAATGATAGCACAACTGTAGACTAGAATAATGGGATAGGTGTGTTTGACTCTAGGGGCAGTGTTTTTGGGAAAGATTAATGACAGTTTGTTTTTACTATAATAATTTATTTGTAAATTTAAATATTCACTGTATTTTTCATTCATTCCTCATATTTCCAGAAGTCAAACCTGTGTTTAAAAAAAAAAAAAAAAAGATATCTTCCTGTATCTCATTCACCCCATCTGTCCATCCCCTGTAGATAATTTGCTTTTTTTTCTTGGCTTATCCATCATTGTTTCTTTTTGTAATGACGAATCAGTATGATTACCCCCACACGTACCTTTTTTTGTACTGGGGATTGAACTCACGACCTTGCACTTGCCAGGCAGGTGCTTAAGCAGCTGAGCTAAATCCCCAACCCTTTATTCTTATGTGGGATATTCTCTTATACTTTGCTTTCTCACTTAATGTATCTTAGAATTCATATCAGGTTATAAATTTTTTTCTTAATCATTTTTACAGGTATCCATTATATTTATCCTAATTTGTTCACTCACTGTCTTGGTTATTTTTCTGTCACTGCTGGAACAAAATATCCAAAATATCCAAAATGAAGAAAGGTTTATTTAGCTCATTCTAAACTTCTCAAATTGACAATATGTCAACCATAACACTCACTTAGGTTTAGATATTTAGGTAGTTTATTATTTTGCAATTACCAAACATTGCTACAGTGAAGAACCTCATACATGTGTTTTCCATATTATTGGAGCTATTATAGGTGTTATCTTTGAGTAAATTTTAGTATGTGGAATTGCTAAGTTAAAGGTTGTGTGCATGTGTATGTAGTTTTGCCAGATATTATTTGGCTACTGTTTTTGACAAACTTTGAACTTCAAGGAGCAAACAAGTATTCATATAACAAATCCATCTGTAGATGTAGCAGTTTAGAGGTTAAAATGTTTTTACTTATTTAAACTCTGAAGTGTAAAGTTTCTAAAGCTAACTCCAAAGAGGGGAAAGATAAATTTTATGTAGTGTCATCCTGGAGGATGAATTTAGATGATATTTTCTTGATTTCCTATTTGAAAGTCCTATTTATAAGCTTACAAAGAATCTTTTCTTCCGGATATTTGTCTTTTATCAGAAGAGCTCCAGGAAGAATTTTTGGAATTCAAAATTGATTCTGTTGCCAAAGGTGCCCTCCAGAAAATCACTTTGAAGATTTTCCAGGTAGAGTAGCTTCTTATTTATCCCCGAATAAGTGAACAGGTTTCAACAGACATTTTACAGTTTTACTGATATACTTGGGAAGTTTTCCTTTTCATCTCATCTATCCCATTTCTGGGTAGGAGAATCTCATAAATACACACAGGCTTGACTTTAGAGTTTCTCACCATATCTCCTTATATATTTTTTAAAATGCACGTACATTTCACATTAAACTGTCTTATTTTGAAGAATTTGTGTTCCCTATGTATAATTTGGGCTAAACTATTCTGACTGTTGATTTTATACAATGAAGCATGTTTCTAGTATTTGCTCAATATGAACAAATATTTAAAATGGAGAATAAATATGTAGAGACAAAGCTTTCTAATAAAGTTGCATTTAGTAAATAGATAAAGTTAATTTCAAATGTTCAGAAGGATCTAAGGTTTTACAAGAGTCAGTGGGCCTCAGCATATGATTTTAATGGTGACTTGGGATGTTTTCACTTTTAAATTTGCACTAAAAAATAAGCAAAAACCTTATTTTGCTGAGAGCCATAAAAATATGACCTACTGTGGAGTTCTAGTTTTGCTTTTTTAAAATTTGGGTCATTAAAATGTTTCTGTTTGCTAATCTAATTCTCTTAATTATTATTTTGAGGTTCAAATAACATTAAATTTTAATTTTATGTTTCTCTGCCAGACATAGTGGTGTATGCCTGTGATCCCAGCACTTGGAAAGCTAAGGCAGGAGAATTGCTATGAGTATGAGGCCAGCCCAAACTGCGCAGTGAAACCCTATTTCAAAAAAAGTGTGTGTGTGTGTGTGTGTGTGTGTGTGTGTGTGTGTGTGTGTGTGCGCACATGCATTTGTGCATCAAAGGGAGGCTGGAGTTTTACTATATGTGCTGCCAAAGCCAGCACAAGGGGCTAGAGTTTTAAAAATAAGAAAAAATGGGGGCTGGGGATTTAGCTCAGCGGCATAAGCACCTGCCTTGGAAGCAGGCAGTCGTGAGTTCGATCCCCGGTACCGATAAAAAGGAAAAAGACAAAAAAAAAAAAAAAAAGAAGAAATGGAAATCAGTGAAGTGGAAAAATCTTAACATCCTGTGACTTGGGTGAGCTGAGTGTTTTCCTGTGCTCTGCTGCTAACCTTGTTCTCTCCTTTGCTGCTTTTAAACATTGGCTTCTTCATTTGGAATATGAGCATTATTTTCTGTAGTTCCCTTATGGGACTGAGGTGGTAGCAGCTCAGTCACAACGTATAGGTATCTTGTAGAGTATGATTGCTATATACTTTTTAATGAGAAACTGTAACACAAGATAAATATTCCTGTCAAAACTTAGTGTTTTCTGAAACATTTTATCTGAGTTTTCTCTTTTTACTGATATGAAATAGAAGACTTTTTGTTCCCTCCCCCCCCCAATTAAATTCAAACTCTAAACTGGCAGGATCTCCTTGAGTTTCACTTCCGCAGTTGGACTAGAATAGTTTTCATCGCGGATTTTCCCAGTAGGTAGGTAGACAACCAGCTTCAGCCTGTAGTATCAAGGATAGACTGGTTTTGTGCTGTCTTTGTTGGGGGTGAAAGTATCCAACAGAAGCAGATTGACTCATTGGTCATTGGTATGTATTCTGGACCTCCCTTCTCTAAACAAGGCCATCTCATTTCCTTCTTTCCCTACACACTGTCTGCCGACTCACCTGTTGGGAAATGCCAGCAATGTTGGTTCTTTCCTGTTCTCTGTGTTCTGTCACTTGTTGAGACAGAGTAATGCTGCTCTTCTGGGGGGCCTTTGAGAACATTCTCACTCTTGCACCCTCACTGGTTGTACCTAGGATCTCGTCAGTGCCTGTCACTTGCACTTGCCATCATGGCCCTTTTTCCCACATGGTAAAGTCTAATCTCTCTGATTTTGTATACCCTTAATTTCTCCTTCTAATTTGGTCACACAGTGTTTCTGTGCATAAACACTGCCATCTAGCCACATACAGCTATCTTTCAGGAAATATATCTGTGGTACTTCTATTCCCCAGGGCCATGTTGAGTAAGAACACAGTCTCTGCCTGGGTTCAGATCCTGTCTGCACTGTTTTTACCTTGTTTCTCTGAAAATCTAACTACACTCTGCGTCAGATTCCTCACAGTAAAATGAGACTACAGATAGTCTGTTTTATAGTGTTGTTGGAATCATCAAAGAGACTATCCATGTAACCAACTTAGAACTGTGCCTGCCCGAATATTTTAAGTGTTCTGCGTATTTGCTGCAATTATTGTTAATTACTGTTACTATTTCTATCTAACATCTTTCAGAATTCTTCATATATCTCTGCTTAAGTAGTTTTCCCAAGTCTACCCAATCATCTACCCAATCACAGGTAATCATACCCATTCATTAATTTATACATGTACCCATTGCTTAAATTTTTTTAAGACTTGCTTAAATATTGAGTGCTTAATTGTGTACAAGGCATCACTACTCATTCAAAGGAATACAAAACATAAGGTAATCTGATGCCCTCTAGGAACTTAAGAGACTGGCAGGACAGATCAGAGGAATGTAAAATATTAATCCATTTTGCAGATGTTTTTTTGAACAACCACAGAGGATCCAGGCGCACTGTGTGTAGTTACCCCAGCATCAGCCTAGTGTCATGGTTAATGACTAGCTTCGGTGAAAGATCAGAATTTGAATACCATATTAAGCAAACTACAGTGGAAGTGTTTGAGGATTGTGGAAAAGAGAGTTTACAGTCTAGGAGGATCAGGTAAGGTGTTTTAGAGAAGGTTTCCATCTTAGCAAGGTCTTATAGAACAATTACTTTTTTCCTGTCTCTGCATCACTGAGGAAGCTTTGTGTTCTGCCTTTGTCCAGGTTGTAGATAAACTGTAGAGTTTTTATAACTGGAAGCTCCTCAAGAGTAGGTAATTTTCTCTTCATTTTTTGAGTTTGTAGTGATCACTGCAGGTTTTATAAATAGACTGCACTCAATAGAGGAGCATGATAAGTTAGGAAGATGTCGTGTTCTATGTAACTTACTAGGATATTATAGTTTGATTTTTTAATATCAGTGAAGCAATCAGACTTCACAGTAAAGATATTTGTTTGAATGGAAAGTGAGGTTTTTGGAAACATTCATGTCATTTCTTATTACATCAATGATAGCCATAGTAATGATTATAGGAATGTAATAAATTCTGCATCAATCCATGTAGATATTTCTTTCTGTGTTTCTATACATTTCTGGAAAGAAACTCATGCAGGTTTCCTCATTAAAACCAGCCCTGGACCTAGTATTCCAGAATGTGATTTCATGACTGATCATATGAGAAACTTAGTTTTTAGAACTTCCCAACAGTTTTAATTCTGAATTTCTCCTTGTAGCAAGGAGCAAGGACCAACCCCAGTGGAGAGAAAGAAGAAAGGAAAAAGGAAAAGTGAAACAACAGTGGAGAGTTTAGAGCTGGATCAGGGCCTGCCGAACCCATCCCTGCGGAGTCCCGAGGAGTCCACTGAGTCTGCTGATAGCCAGGTACAGCTGTGCCCAGGAGTCTGCTAGAGGTTATGGCTGCTGAGGGGGTCTTGCTGACGCTGATCCTGATGCTCCTTAATGCCTTTCTCTAGCCCACTGCCCTGTGTACAGGGCTTTTACTGTTTTGGTGGGTGAGTAGGTACACCATGTCACCATGGGTGATTTTTTTTTTTTTAGACTGATCCTTGTGTTGATAATCGTTTTTTTTTTTGGTGGTGATGATATTGGCTTTCTTGGAAGGTAGCATAATGTTAGACTGCAGAGGATATGGAAATTGAACTTCCAAGCAGGGCTAAGTAAGGTTTAGGGTATCTACTTTGCCATATAGGTAATGCATTCAGTGATCAGAATGTTACATCAGGGATACTTCATAATCCTAAATGGTGGAAAAGCCAGGGATGTATTCATTATGCCAAAATAGTATGAGAGGTTTGGCTAAATATGGAAACAAGTAATTGCCCATCTATTCAGCTCCTAAATATATGCTACAGTGTGCCGTAACACTGATGGAGACTTAATCTCTGTGCTGGGGCAACTTCTCTTGGACATAAATTCTAATATTTGACAGTGTTATTTCCTCTGATATCCACAGCAGTTTATCTAAGCCATGGTGCTACAAGGAGGCCATTTAGAGTAAGGGCAGCCTACTGTACATTCCAAGATCATCTGGATCCGCGTTAGTTTTTCAGTGATCTTCACTATTGGAAGATATTGGCTTATCGTAACATTATACTGTTCCTAGGTAGTAGCGTCTGGTGTAGGAGCAAAGGCTTCTTCACCGCCTATAAGCTCGGGCTGATAGGTACCCAGGTAGCTGGAAGACGAACCACATCAATTTGATGGGATTTAGCAGAGAATTAAGTGTTTGTTTGATTGTAATCTATATTTGGGAATGAAAGAGAGGTTTTTTGGTGAAATCGTTTACATGAAGTGAAACATTATTGAAGTGGGACAGTAAAAAAGTGATGGGAAAATAAGCAGGTGCTCAGGGGCTATCCTTTAGAAGAAAAGAGAGTGAAGATTTGGTTTCTTAAAGTTTAAATGTTTGAGATTGTGTTAGCTTTCCTGAGGAGATTATCTGCTGCTTGGGTGTGATAAGTTTATAGAGGTGAACTGGGTGCTTTTCTGTTTGAGCAAAGTTATTGTACTGCTTTGTTGCTACTTGTTGTTTATCCAAAAGATACAAGCTACTTAATTAGAGATGAGTTTCAGATCTTAACTTGCCATATTGTCACATTTAAGATGTGTCCCTGCATTTTAAAATGTGTTCAGGGATTCTCAAAGTAAGTCCTAATAAAATTGTTATTAATTAGTTTTTCAAACTACAAAATTGGTATTAATTAGTTTTTCAAACTTTTGACAGGAGGTCAGAAGTATGGTGAGTTCAAGCAAAAATAAATGAATAAATAAAAATGGTCATTATTAGCATGAAATCTGAGCTTCCAGCTGACACTGTAGAAGACCACAAAGATGATGGAATGACCCCCTGTTCTTCTTTTATCAGTATAGAAACCAATTCCAGAGGTGAGGGAGAATCACTACTGTTGATGAGTAAAATGCGTCTTCCTGGTCTCTGAGACTATTGCTCATTAGTGGATCATAGCAGTTTGGAGGTGAGACTTGTTCTCTCCCTCACATAGCTAAATCCCATTTTGAGAGAATTTAGTCCTTAAGACAGTTGTGTTTAAGATTCCTTTGTATGATGAGAATATTCTTATACAATATTTGCCTTTTCACTTACAGAGCTGCTCTGACAGGTGTGTTTTTTTTCTATAGAAACGACGCTCAGGTCGACAAGTAAAACGCAGAAAATACAATGAGGACCTCGACTTTAAAGTGGTGGATGATGATGGGGAAACAATTGCTGTTCTTGGAGCTGGCCGAACATCTGCGCTCTCAGCTTCTACACTGGCGTGGCAGGCAGAGGTATGGCCATTACATGATGATCACAGGCATCATAGGAAATTTGCACTGGTACATAATATAACTTATTTTTTTTTCCCATTCCCTTATCCTCCCTTCAACTCCTTCCTCCCCATTTACAAAAGCTTTGTTTTCATGTTTTCCTTCTTTTCTCTTTTTCTTTTTTTTACTTTTCCTTTCTTTCTTTTCCCCGTCCCCCTCCCATAATCCCCTCCCCATTCGAATATTTTCTTCCAGTTTCACATTAACAATTCTACATTTTGGTCCTGGTTTACATGTTCAGTTTCTCATACCAGAGAAACAATGTGGTATTTACACATGTGATTTATTTCATTCAAGAGTATAGTCTCAAGGTGTATCCAATACCTAGAAATGTCTTGAGCTTATCCTTCTGTATAGCTGAGTGGTGTTTCATTGTATTACAAAAAAATCACATCTTCTTTATCCATTCATCAGTTGTGGGCATCTGGGCTGTTTCCAAGATTTAGCTATTACAAACTATGCTTCTATAAACATGAATGTGCATATATCACTGTGGTATGATGCTTTTATTTATTTCAGGAAGACACCAAGAAAGGGAATAGTTGGGTTAAATGGAATCGCTACTAGTTTTTTTGAGGAATCTCCACACTGATTTCTATAGTGATTATACCAGTCTGTATTCCCACCAGCAATAGAGAAAGGTTCCTTTTTCCCCACAGCCCTGCCAGCATTTGTTATTGGTTTCTTTGATGATAGCGATTCTTTCTGGGGTGGGATGGAATCTCAACATTGTTTTAATTTGCATCTGTTGAATGATTAGTGATGTTAAACATTTTTAGAATGTAAGAATCTTGTATGTGCTAAATACTTTAAATTTAGAGATCAAAATCAAAAGAACTAGTAAATCACATTTGAAGCTTTAGTTTGACAGATGTTTTGAGAGTCAACTAAAAAGCCATGTCCTGGGTTGAATATTGAGATACGGTTCCAGTTGTCTGTATACTTTATCTAGGAGAAAGGACACGTGGCTTCCTAATGTCACAAGAAGTGCAGGCTTAGAAGTAGGTGCTAGATACAGTGTCACACAAAAGCAGGACTGGTCAGGTGTTCAGGAGAACAGAGATATGAGAAGGACATTCCTAGCATGAACTGAAGCTTTGGACCCTGAATGGTTCTGATCATTGAGTGACTGGCAGAATGCTAGAATGTGATCTGAGGAGTGGTTGGGCTGAGAGATAAGAGTTGCTTGGATATCAGCTAAGGGGTGTACCTTTAAACTGTAGATTAAATGAGAAGGAAGCATCAGTAGATTAAAGCAGAATGCCCATATTTTCCCATTACGAATTCTCCTGATAGCAGTGTCAAGGCAGAAGATAGTAGAGTTACGATTTAACAGGAAAAGTGTTAAATTTTGAAAGCAAGGAGGTCTGTGCTGAGGAGCTTATTGGGAAATGAAAGGGAAAGGCAGCAGCAGGCTGTGTATGTAGGAGAGGCATCATTGCCAGCAGTGCGTTCTGGGACACAGGCTGTGTGTTCTGGCGCCCCTGCTGACTTGGCAGAATCCCCTGTGCATGTGGAGTGGCAGTAGCACAGATACCTGTGCCTCCCCAACTGTAGTGTGCCTTACAGAAGCGAATACAGTTTGTTTTCTTCAGTCACCTTGCCTCCAACTGAAGAATGTCTTCATTCGGTTTCACTCATCCTTTTACTCTGTGTTTGCATGGTAAGTAGTAAGGAGGAGGGGCTTACTGACACTATTTTAACAATCAAGAAATTGGGGCACAGAATGATCCAAGTTAGAGTTACATAGTGACTATTAATCAGTAACTAACCTGTGGGGGTTAAATTCATGTCTCTGCTAGCGGTATTCATCTAAGGAATGTAATACTTCAGAGAAATAATAATTGTATATTACCATTACAGAAATTTTCAAGCCGATAGTGAAAGGTAGCTTTTTTGCAAGACTGCTATGGGATGATAGGATTCTGTTGCTTTATAGTAGGTTTTCCTTCCTTGGGGATTTTATGGTTGATTTGATAATTAAAACTATATAAGGGTTTTTATTTTTCCTAGTAGCCACTTACTCTAAGCCATTAAGCACATTTCTTTCCTGATCCCCAAAGAGCAACAATGGCTGATTCGACAGAAATAATTTGGGAATTTTTAAGTATCTTACAAAGGTTCTTTTTTCCTCTAAGAGTACAATAAAAAAGGCTTACATATAGAAAAATAAAAGATAGACTCTGAATTTACATTAATTATGCCTCAAAAAGTTGTATAAACTTTAAACAAAAAGAGGCTTGATACATGGTTTCAAATTTGAAGGTCAGATGTCACGTGAATCTGAACTGAGAGTAAGGCCTATTTCGTAGTTTCCTGTGGCAAGTCTCTGTCCTCCCTAATATGATACGAGACAAATTTTCCTGAGACATCAGGGAAAATTGTGGGTGCTTGTCAGTCTCTTGCTTAAGAATTGGAGGTAGTAGTAGGGGCTGGGGATTTAGCTCAGCGGCATAAGCACCTGCCTGGCAAGCAGGCGGTCGTGAGTTCGATCCCTGGTACCGATAAAAAGTTAAAAAAAAAAAAAAAAAAAAAGAATTGGAGGTAGTAATAAATCAGAATTTGTGTGAGCTATGTTAGATCAAAACTCTGCTTGGATTAAATGTGCCCATATACTCCCATATGGTTTTACTGTAAAAAGATAGATTACTCCATGTTCCAGAAAAGATATTCTTTACCATCTTCCAGTTGCCCTTTGAATATCTTTTGTTTTGTTATCTTTGCTATTCTCTTTTACGAGCCATTATTCTTTAAGCCACAAAAACCTCACCTGTTCCGTGAAACCCAAGCTGTTCTCACTTTCTGAACTTTCACTGAACTTGTGACTGTCATATCTTTAACATTTGCCCTTAAACTAAGGCTAAAAAAAAATGTTTATTTTTTGTGAGTGAGTATGTATCTTTTGAAGCCGGGTTCCAAACTGCACACCATTTTTGAAATCTTCGCGGTACTCAGTAAATACTTGATTTGAAAGCTGGTTTGTTTCTTTGGCTAGCCGTCTTTATGGCTAGCCGAACAGAAGTAAATGAAGTATTTAGTTGCAGATGGGAGTAAGCCATTTTTTAGATTTTCTGTATAGATAAAGTTTTAAAATATATGACTCTGACATATAAATGAATGGATTAAAATGGTCTTTGAAGGATAATTTGAGAAAATTCTAAGCAGTTAAGAACAGATGGTTTTTATGGAAGTGTGTTTGGCAGACAGATTTAGTTTATATCTGTGTGTATCTGTATACACTGAGTGTTTATGCACACATGATCGTGCTTATGCACAATCTCTGTTTAAGAAAAATACCCTGATTTTCCAATTTCTTTCTGACTTTGATGTGTGTTTTGGAAATGCTGCTCTCTTTTCCTCTTAGTAAGATAAAATAGAAACCTGCTTTCAATGTTTTGATGATTACATTTTTGAAATTTTTATGGTAAAATTCATTTGTATAAAGCTAAAAAGAGGCAAAGTATATTGTTCAGAGATGAGTACATGGATAGTAAAACTACAGAAAATCAGATAAATAAGAGCTGTGCATGTCAGGATTGTAATCACTTTGGACTCTGAGCATAAGGCAAACACAGGATACTACTTTTTTTTTTTTTTTTTTAAAACCTGGGTAGTGGTTATGACCTGAGTGTTTATTTTAGAACTCTTTGTTAAGCTATAGATTGGGGTTTTTGTTCGTTTGTTTGTTTGTTTGTTTTGAGACAGGGTCTCACTATGTAATTCAGACTGATCTTAAAACCACTTTGTAGCTAAGGTTGGCCTTGAACTCATGGGTAGAGAAAGTGGTCAATAGTTAAGAAAGTTGGGTGCTGGTCAATAGACCTAGTTCATCTGTCACTTCATTCCCAAAGCCTCTCCTAATTCATCCAGTGTTCTAGCTTCTGTGTTCCCATAGAACTTATATTATACTATTATTGCCATGCTCAGTTGAAAAAGAGCCTCATACCATTACTTACTTTGAAATATTTATTGAACACTTGCTGTATGCCAAGAGCTGCCTGGATCCTGCAGATAACACTAAGGAACAAAAGAGACAAAACTCCTTACCCTCAGCAAATAGAGCCAAAGAAAGGAAGCCTGCAGCAAACAGTAGCCTGGCTTTCTCCCCCAGATTTAGCCAGATTGTAAACATACAAGGGTTGGGAGGCCAAAGGGCTAAGACTTTAAAAAAGTCCAAAAGTTAAAATAACTAGGGAGGGGCTAGTAATTAACATAATAAATAAAATTATGTAGTATATCAGTAACAAATTCTATGGGAAAAGATAAGAAAATAATGATATGAAATAGAATACTGAAGATTGCACTTTTTAGTAGGGTTGAGTTGCCTTCATTAAAAAGGTAACATTTCAAAAATGGTTGAGAGAGATAAAAGAAGAAATCATGGAGGGGGAGCATTTCAGGCAGAAAAACCCATGCAGAATTCCTGAGATAGAAGTGTGCCTGCTATGTGTAAGGAACAGGTGAGGAGTTATAGGAAGTAGCAGCTGGGGTGAGGGGTAGGGCAGGCGAGAGAGTAGGTGTAGATCCTATAGATTCTGAAGGTCATTGGAGAATCTTCAGTTTTTGCTGAGTTAGCAAGAAACATTTTAAAAGGCTGGGGATTTAGCTCAGCGTCATAAGCGTCTGCCTTGCAAGCAGGCAGTCATGAGTTTGATCCCCAGTACCGATAAAAAAGAAAAAGACAAAAAAAAAAAAAAAAAAGAAAGAAACATTTTAAGCTATGTAAGTAGAAGAGTAACAATAAAAATGGACCTTCTGAATATTGTGAGAATGAACTAGTGGGAGAACAGAAGCCAGCAGACTAATTAAGAGGTCTTGGGTGTAATTTGGGAAAAGTGAAAGTGGTATGGATCAAGATAAAAGCAGTGAAGAGAATAGGAAGTGGGCTGAATATGTATGTGTGTGTATGTGTGTGTGTGTGTGTGTATATATATATATATATATATATATATATGAAATTT